ATGTCTCTGGCCACCCCTGCACAAAGGTAATAGATCTTACCTTATTAGACAATGGACAACCACAAAAAATGTGAATCTCACCAGAATTGCGAAGAAAGACAAAGTCGAGAGGTAGGGATCTAGTCTCGTAGATTTAGTTTGGGGGATGGGTGAAAAATGTCTTCTTCTTCTTCTTCTTTTTTTGTTGCTTTGGTGGAGTTTAGGATAAGAGAAATGGGTAGGTGGTGGGGGTTTGGGAGAGAGAGAGAGAGGTAAACGAGAAAGAAGCATGGTGAGACAGATGGGCAGTCGCCTGATCAACGAGAGAGAGAAAAAAGAAGAAAGAGAGGTAAAAGAGAAAGAGAAGTATGGTGAAAAACATTGTCTTGTTCTGTTAGGTGGGCGTGTGGAGGAGGAAAAAAAAAGAAAGGAAGAGAAAAAAGAAAAAAAAGTGGGTCACTGAATTTTGAAATTAATTTTATGGGTGGGTGGGAATGAGATTGAGGTTTATGATTATATATATATCACGGTTAGCGGGGCGGGAAGAGGACGGGACAGGGGTAAATGTTAGTCCATCCTCTCCTCCATTCCCTCACGGGTTTATACGGGTATTCTCGTATACGTCCGATATGTATGGTCTATCCACGATCCAAACGGAGTGGGTTTGGACGAATACTCGGTTTTCTCTGGTCTACTGTCATCCCTAATCTATATCTATATCTATACTACTATAAAATATGAACATATGTGAAAAATATTTTTTTTCCACCTTTAACCTTCAACAAATGCAAGTATTACATTATTATCCTTTAAAATCAATTACACATTCAACATGAATCCTATTGGTTTTTCACTTCTATAACCATTACAATTCTCTTCCCCTCTCTCTCTCTAAAAAAACAAATAGACACCCCCTCTTTTCACCTTCCTCCTCTATCTCTATCTCTCCGGTAATTGTTTTATGTTCTAATAATTGTAAGATTTATTTATTGAATTCGGACTGAATAAATCAATTACCATTTAAAACTTTTATTCATTTCAGGATTTCATATTCCAAATGGTACACATGTTTTTCATCTTTTCCTCTCTGTTCAAAACCCTTTTGTATACCAGATGAAGACCTCTCTCTCTCCACCCCCTTCTGTCACCTGTGTTTGAGTTTTACAATATCAGTCGAATGCTTCAACATGTATTGCTTCTCCGTTTTTCACAATTTTTAAGTTCATCTCATTCGATCTAAGCTATTAATATTTTTGTTTTCAAGTTTTTATTTGTTTTATAGTGTTTCTAGTTACTTTTCCAGTTTTAAGGTTTGGTTCCTACGAAGGTCATCTCAGAAAATTGAATGGTAATCGTTGTTTGAATTAGATTTTGATTGTTTGGATACTGGTGAATTTTAGTTTTAACAAATTGGGTCCATGCAAACAATATATCTTTAACGGGTTTGTCAATTTATTGATTGTATTTTTGACCTTGTGGGAAAAAAATTATTCAGTTTGGTGTTAATTTTAGTGTTTATCGGAATTTCTATCTGTGGAAATTAAGATTTATTGGAAGTAGGTTATTAGTGTGATCGACGAGTTCAATCAAAGAGGCAGTTAGATGAAGTTTCTTCAACATTTTTGTTGGAAATACTAGTATTTGCCAACAAATTTTGTAGTGAAAGGCTCAAGGATGCAGATGTTTATAGATGAACTTCCCAACTCTTTGAATAATAATAAATTTGTTGAATTGACCTATTCGAAGCTGTCATCGGTGCAACGCTCCAGTTTTTTGGACCCGTTACTTAATTAAATCAATTGATCGATAATAAACCACAAAAAAATCTCCGAATATAGGGTCAGAGCTCTATTTGCCTTAATAAATTTATAATCACAATTTTGATCTCCAAATAATAAAAATAATCTCCTCATTATACAAAGTTAAAAATTATATCAAGATTCGTCTGTCTTCGATTCCTCAAATATCAACTCTGGTCCTTCTCTTCGAGATAATCCTGAAAAAATATTAAAAGCGGGGAAGTATACAATATGACAAGAAACAATATGCTCAACGAGAAAGAACATGAATGATCAAATACCAAATCATTCAATCGATAGACGATCATAGATAAAAGAATTCAGAATCTAATTCGATAAGTCACATAATTTAATATCTATCAAATATAGCCTCATACTTGGGTCCTCTTGGTGACATGACAATTGACACTTGGACATATAAAATCCATACTCATATCGAACCATTACAGCCCTCAGGGCTGTAACCATAATTGCACCCCGCAGAATCATAATCATATTTCACCAATTATGCTCTCAAGTACACGTACTAATCAACTCTAAAGTATTTAACCCAACGTACATGTACATGTCAACCGATAACATTGACAGAATTTCATATCAATCAGAATAATCAACAGGAATACAAATTTCATATAATGAAAGGACACTATTTACAAAGAGATTTAAAAGACAGGAGCATATTGTATACTATCTCGTACCGCAAATCTATCAATAACTTCAATAGATGCGAAATTCAAAATACCCCGAATCAAATAGTCAAATTTAATAACAATCTAAAATAAAATTACTGCTCAATTTTTGACCCTAAGATCTCATAAGTTTTTTTTCTTCCTTTTTTTTTTCTTGCTTTCTTCCTTTCTCTCTCTTTCTTTCTTTCTTTCTCTCTCTCTCTCTCGCTTCCTTTCTTCCCTTGGTGTGCTGCCTGATGGCCTGAATGCATAGGCTATTTATAGCCAATGTTGCTTGGTCCCCAAGCACCTTATGGACACTTGTCCATGTTATTCATCTCTTTTTTTTTTGTTTCAAATAGAGCACATGCTCATTAACTGCCACCCTTCCATTTTGACACTTCCATTTTAACACATATGTATACTAGTCATAACCCGTGCCTGAAGGCACGATAAAATATAAAATTCGAGCATCCAAAAAATCGATCACACTATATTAAATTTTTTCAAAATATATTAACTACAAATTAATTAAATATATGATAGAAATGAGTGATGTGATATTCTTAGGGAGGAAATATATAAATGATTAAATATGTGAAAGAAATGAGTAATGTGATTTAACGTTTGAGTCTGACAAAGGGATAATAAGTGAGGTAAGTGATTGATGATGGTTTTGAGGGGGAAAATATGACTGGGATAAAATTCAAACACACTCCTGTTTTATTATATAGATGCACATGTATATACATATATTATACCTTTACTATATCATTTGGACACTACGATTATTTATTATTTATTATTATTATTAATTTTTTTAAAATAATCCTTAATTATATAGAATAATAATTGACGACCTAATTAACGTGTCAATGATTAATTTATATACGGGTCGTCACAATTGGTATGCGAATGATGCATAATTATTTTCGTCTCGAAGGAGTAGCTGTTGATCTACCTTATGGATGGATAGATAAATGTTTTATGTATGGATAGATAAATGTTTAGATTTTTGCGATTATTTTTTAATAGGAGTTGCTGAATATCAAAAACTTATTACACATAATCTTATTTTTTTAGAACGAGTTGAAGGAGGAAGTATTATTGGCAGAGAAGAAACAATAAATTGAGGTTTATCAAGACCAATGATACAAGCTTCCAGAATGCAATGAGATCTTCATAAAGTTGATCATTATGAGTGTTATGAAGAATTTGAATGGCAAGTACAATGGAAAAAAGAAGGGGATTCGTTAGCTCGTTATTTAGTACGAATCAAGGAAATGACAGAATCTATAAAAATTATTTAATAGGCTCTAGAAGGAATTCCAAGGGGACCATATGAGAATTTAGAAATCTTACACTTTGATAGAGTAAGGGATCCCGAATGGAATGATTTTGAATATCAATTCATTAGTAAAAAATTTTCTCTGACTCTTGAATTATTACAGCAAGAACTTTATGTAAGAGTTGAAATCCCAAAAGGAGAATTGAGAATTTTTTTGATAGGAGATTAGAGTGGTTTTCCAGGGAAATGAAAAATTCGCCCACCCGATTTTATCAATTTGAAAATTGTTCCTCAGTTAGTTAAAAAAATGAAAATGGCTGATATTATGACGATACCAAGTAGCATAGATATCATTATGAGAGAAGTTGATCGTTGAAATGATAATTGATACAACAGAAGTACAAGCTATCAATTCTTTTTCCAGATTGGAATCCTTACAAAAGGTCTAAGAGATCATATGGATGCTTGCCTATATTTTGACTACTGTATTAGGAATCATAATAGGTGTACTAGTAATTGTTTGGTTAGAAAGAGAAATATCTATAGGGATACAACAACGTATTGGGCCTGAATACGCCAAACCTTTAGGAATTCTTCAAGCTCTAGCAGATGGTACAAAATTACTTTTCAAAGAGAATCTTCTTCCATCTAGAGGAGATAATCGTTTATTCAGTATCGGACCATCTATAGCAGTCATCTCAATTCTACTAAGTTATTCAGTAATTCCTTTTGGATATCATCTTGTTCTAGCTGATCTAAGTATTGGTGTTTTTTTATGGATTGCCATTTCCAGTATTGCTCCTGTTGGACTTCTTATGTCAGGATATGGATCAAATAATAAATATTCCTTTTTAGGTGGTCTCCGAGCTGCTGCTCAATCAATTAGTTATGAAATACCATTAACTCTATGTGTGTTATCAATATCTCTACGTGTGATTCGTTAAGAAATAAATTTTCCCTATTTTTTTTCTTTCTAGGAAGGAAGTTAAATAAGTTGAATATCCATTTTCATTTTTTTATTCATCATTCAGGCTGATGAACTAAACCAGATAGTTATATGAGTGAAAGAAAACGGCTTATAAATTTGCGGTAAAAAAATGGAGTCTCATTACCTATGTACAAGAGTTAAATGAAAGTAAATATAAGCAGTAAAGATTGGTTACCCCAAGATATTGGTTGATTAGTCATCATGGCTTGAGGCGGGTTCAAAAGATCAACTGTATAGAGGTTTTACTATTAATTACCATAACAGGAGATTGGGCAAAA